AATATATATATATATATATATATATATTTCTGAGAAAAGAAATACCTAAAAACAGTATCAATTTGAGATTTTTTTGCGAGAAAGATGCATTGGAGTTTAACAAATTGTGATTTTTTAATACATAGGACAGTCCATTTTTCCATGAATAGATTAATTCGTAATAACAACTTTATAGGTAATTGTTGGGTAAATAAGACCTATTCTTTGACATGGTATATGCAGTTTCATGCATTGTTTGAATCAAGACACTGTTAATAACTTTTTTTAACGATTAAATTAAACTACAGAAACAAATCTCAGCTCTGTCTGATTTAGTCTGAGAAGGTTGTTGCAATGCACCCATCTGCCAAGTCTCATTTGGATTGATGGAAAAATAAGGAAACTACAGGCCAAAATATGTGTTTTTGTAACATTTAATCTACGACCCCTAAAATTGGAATAGGAGCCTAAATAAAAAAATTACAAAAATTGTGATATATAGGAGTAGGTACATGCTCTCCAAGTTTCAAGTTTGGTCTAGAAATAGAAGACTAGTGCACAATTGTAACTGTTGGAAAGAGGAAAAAAAACCATAGGAAATACAATTATCTCTTCCTCCCTATGGGGAAGAAATAAACTACATGAAAGTATACATGTAGATTATAAATGTAGATTTAACCTCAGAAAGTAAAATCCAATAGAATAATAATAAATACTACTTTTAGATGTCCATCTCTCCAAACTGAGTCAGTTTCAGTTTTGTTAGTATTATTTGACTTACTGTTAATATAGTTCAACCATTTCCTTCAGTCATAAAACAAGTTAGGAATATTATCCAGTCATTGTTAGGCACTAGAAGTAAGTTTCTCACTAGGAAATAACCAATAGAAAAGTAGTCAGGCACATAAAACAGGCTTGCACCAAATTAAAACTAATTCTAATAGCAAGCTTTCAATCCTATTCATAGGAAAGTCTTTGATCAACTCAACTGTTTAAGATATTCAAATGATCTGAGAACAATTCTTAAGAGTAAAGCCATCTGTTCTAGTTAGCATTTACATGGTGTAAGTCCAGTTCTTGTGCATCAGTGTACATTTAAATGTTGTTTAAGTTTTACTAATCTGGATTTAAAATATATTCTAGAAAAACTTAACTTGTCATATTAGTATTGTTTCTTTTCTTGTCAAACATATGTGTTAGCCATAGTTCAGCTGTTGTGCTAATACAGTGTTTTTCTGTGAATTAACTTAATTAGGCTTAATAGGCTTCAAGTTGAAAAAAAAATTATACAATTGTACTCAAATGAAGACATGTCTTAGATGTGTATTCTAATTCATTTATGGATTTTTATTCAGTAATTATTATTTTTTTATTGTGACCATACTCACATGGATGAAATTGTTTTCCATTGCTTTTTTGTTTTATTTAATTTCAGCTTCCAATCTCAAACTGTCAGAATTCTCCAGACAGAAGTATAGAAATAAATTACAAGAATTTTGTGATGCTAGCAAGTTAATTCCCACAATCTCAGATAAAATGAGCATTGAGACTCCAATGCCTTGGGAAATACCAGCAGATTTTGAATACAAGTTGGAAACGTTTCTCAAGTTGAGAAATTCAAACTATCGTAATAAATTTTTTGAACTTTAAAAACGGCGTAACTGCTGTTTAAATATTCTTTTCTTATGTTATACATGTAGATGTTCTTAAAAGGCAAAGTTTTTCTTATTTTTGAGAATTTCAACATTTTCAGTCAAATTATATTTTCAGTGTTAGACTTGTGAATTGTAGTTGTTATATATATATATATACATATAAAATAAAAATTATTCTTACGTAATTTTCTGAAAAATTCACTTTATAATCCATTATTTAGTTTCGTATCAGTATGAGATCAATTTTTTTTTGCCTTTTTTCACTGATAATTTAAAGTAATACTCTTATTTTTTCTTACGTGTTATGGTGTTTATGAATATCTGTGAACAGATGTTTCATCCTTGAAAGATTTAAAAGTCACAAGATGTAGATAAACGTTTTCAGAAATGAAATGTTAGACTTAAAATGTAGGTTTAGCAGTCCACATGTATTTGTGAAAAATGCCAACACTTTGAAAGACTATAAAGTAAAAATAAAAGTAACAAGTTGTATAAGGGGTAAAAAAAGAACCATATGTAAGCGCGTCAAAAAGAGTAACAACAACAAAAAGTAAACCAAAGAATAATAAATGTAAACCAAAAATAAATCTGTAAAGAAAAATTATATATACAACAAAAAGGGGATAGTAGTGAAAAATATTATATATATTTATAGTAAAAAATTATATTTTAGTGCCATGGCAAAACTTTTCTTTTGTCATAATTTTTGCAATATTCATTTTATAATCAATTATTATATTTGATCAAATATCCTATTATCATCATAATACTTGTATTATGTTTATGAAAGATGAGACTTTTTTCTGTCATTCACTAATAAATCGAACACAGTAAACTTATTTTTTTCCTATATGTTATGCTATTTATGACTTCTGCTTCTGTGAACTGTTTCTTTACTAACAGACGATAGTAATTTTATTGACAACACTATTTTGAGACAGCTGTCTGTTTATTATTATTTTCTGTATCTTAAAGTAAAGTTTATAAGTTAAAGATGTATGAAAATGAATAGTTTTTTCCCAAACCTTGTGTAATTTTAACAACTAAATTTTCACGTCGAAATAGTGAAATACACATTTCTTTTACAATTTGTATTTGTGATAAACAGTATATCTAAAAAGTCATTACATGGCCCGTTAGCTCAGTTGGTTAGAGCGTCG